GATGGAGGCAATCTAGAAAAAGTTTCTCTTTCCTAAGAGAAAGCCGCAACTGGAGGGAAAAAAAAATCTCTCTTCTTCAGGACACTGCGCTGCCTAGATGTGCTGCCTTTGAACTCCTGCTGTCACCTTGCTGTTGGCCTAAAGAAGAAAGCCAAAACTGAGGGATCAGAACAGAAAGGCGGGAAAGACCTGGGTGGTGTGACATTGTTGGGCTTTTCTGTCTCTGGATTTCTTGTCATGAAAGGTTAAGTTTCTTTCTTTCTTTCTTTCTTTCTTTCTTTCTTTCTTTCTTTCTTTCTTTCTTTCTTTCTTTCTTTCTTTCTTTCTTTCTTTCTTTCTTTNCTTCCTTCCTTCCTTCCTTCCTTCCTTCCTTCCTTCCTTCCTTTCTTTCTTCCTTTCTTTCTTTCACCATATAATCCATTTCTGATCCTCGCAAACCAAAGCACTTGTTGGCATACTGAACATCTTACTATGTTCATTCATTCCATAAATATTTGAGTATTCATTGTGAGGCACTATGCTAAGTTCAGTATAAGTATTACCCTTAACCCTCAAGCAGTCTGTAAGTTGGGTGTTATTACTCCCATTTATAGAGGATGAAACTGAAACTTAGGGCAATTAAGTGGTTTGTTAAGTGAAGTAGCTAATGAATGATAAAGTCAGAATTTGAACCAGGGTCTGACTCCAAAGCACATGTTCTTTCTATTCTACTGTGCTTCCTAGTTTGGATAGCTTTATTATGTGAGGTGTCAGTAGATCAGCAGTTCTCAACTTTTTAGACTCAGGACTCCTCTATATCCTTAAAAAATATTGAGGATCAAAAAGGGCTTTTATTTATTTAGGTTTTATCTATTGATATTTAACACATTACAAATTAAAACAGAAATTTAAGATGTTTATTCAATTCATTTAAAAATAGCACTGATTAACCCATGTAATGCTAATATAAGTAATATATTTTCATGAAAAATAACTATATTTTCCAAAGCAAAACAAAATAGTGAGAAGAATGACATTGTTTTACATTTTTGCAAATCTCTTTAACATCTGGCTTAATAGGAGACAGCTGGATCCTATCTGCTTCAGCATTTAATCTGCTGTGATGTATAGTTTTGGTTGAAATATACAAAGAAAATCTAACTTCATACAGACATGTCATTGGAAAAGAGAGGAGTGTTTTACAAGCCTTTTTCAGATAATTGTGTATAGTCTTTGATACTATACCCGAACTGGTCGTTTCTTAAAGATTAGTTGCAATGTGGAACCTGAAACCAAATAAATAAAATTTTCATCTGTATTGCATAAAAATACATTGGCTTATCTTGCACTTTGAAGTGATCTTTCTTACCTATGTACAATTTTATAACATCAGGCACTGGATGTTTGGAAAATGTTGATTCACTGAGTTATGCAGAGCTCCCAAATGTTGACACATTATATTATACAGTATCAAAAAATGCATTTATCAATATCACCATTGATATCATCAGTAACGTCTTTGAATATTGGTAAGCTGTGAAGCTCATGGTAGCTGATACCAGTTTTTCAAAATTCTGATTTTTACTTGAATGCCTAATTTTTGCAGTGGGCAACAAATACTGTCAGCTATTTTCTTTGAAGTGTGAATCTTGTTTATTTTTGAGAAAAATGTCTACCAAATACCCAAGTCTGAATAACTGTAATTTGTACCATTCCTTCAAGTAAAAGTAGTGTTTCGTGATAAAAGCAATTAGTTTATCTTATAACTCAAACAATTACACCAGTACTTTTCCTTAGAGACAAACACAGTACTTCATGTAGCAGACATTCTTTATGCATATTTCCCATTTCATCACATAGACTATTATAAGGACAGGTACTCACAGGCTGAAATTTAATACAATGAATAATTTTAATGGTTTCATCAAGGACTTTCTTAAATGGGACTGGTAGGGTGTTTTTTGCTACTGTGAGTGTGTGGCAGTAAAGAATGCAATGGATACTAGTACAATTAGGTCCTACTGCCTTGATTTGTGTTAAGCCACCCGTGTTTTTTTCCACCATTGCTTTGGCATCATCAATGCAAATGTCAGCACAGCGAAAAAGGTTAATGGCATCTCTAGAGTATCATGAAAATAGTTTTGACCTCATGGGCCACCTGAAATAGTTTTGGGCTCCCCAAGGTCCACCAGCCACACTTGGAGAACTGCTACAGTAAGTGATCATTTGGTACATGAAACCTCTTAGGAGAAGTTATGGATACAGTACGATTATTGCAAGGGCTGGGAAGAGACTTGAGTTCTGGGTCACGTCATGGTTTGGTCCCTGCATTTGGGTCAATGTCTATTGACCTTGGTGGCTGACAACCCATGGGGTCGTTAACAGAAGAGTCTTGGGCATGTCCAGGCGCTGAGGTGCCCATGAGGCCTTGGGCTGGAGGGCGCAGGAAATTGGCTCACCCAGCTCATGCGCTGCCAGTCACAGACATACTTACAACCAGCTTCTTTGTTTCTCTATTCAGCCCATTAGGCAATTGAACTTGTACTCGGTTTAGAAATGCCCTATTTAAGATGATCTAATGTCTGTTTATAATTCTTAAAATGCTCCTATTAGTGAAGTTGTCAAAGCCTGTTTCTTGGTATAAAATTTCTCTGATGCTGAATAACTATTAAATAATGAAAGTTCTGTGTCATTCTGAGGGGCATCAAGACTCCCTCTTTCAAGCAGCCCCTTTCCCCCACGGCTTGCCAGAGGCAGCCACCTTGGCAACACAAAGCACCACTCTGGGGGTGTCTCACCGAGCCAGTCCCTGTTTCCAGGAAAGAAAACGCATGTCCTTGAGCCAGAACAAATGTTCTAAGGGCTGGGATTTTCCTTTCTCCTGCTAGAGAGGGAAGGCTAACAATGGTTTGCTTGAATCCCTACAGTGGGTCTAGCCATCCAGAAATTCCAGCGTGCCAGACATCTCTACGCCAGAGATACTGTCCCTTGACTCATGAATACACGAAGGAATTTGCTCTGGCACTGTCTGAAGGGTTAAGAAAGGATCCTGTTCCTTATTAGCAGTGATGTTTGGGGCTGACTCAAATTGGGGAAAAGGCCAGTCATGCTGGGGGCCTGCTATATTTCCTGAATGAATGTCTTAAAGCACAGAAGCCAGACAGACAACCCAGATGACTGACCTGCATTTGTTCTGCAGCATGGTGGTTTCTGCCTTGCTACACTGCCGTGAAAAAAAATCGCAATCTGACTAGGGCAGGGAGGGAAGCATCATCAGAGAGAGATTATAAATGGCTCCGAGTTTTAGCAAGTTTTTCCTAGTATTTGACCTCAAATGTTCTTTCCTTCAGGAACTTCCAGGCCCCTCTCCCTGCTTTTTTTTCTTAAACTCAAAAAACAACTGTATCATACATTCCTATTCTCACATATGTGCTGGGAACATAAAAGTTGCAATAATCTTCTTGGCTGTAGGTCTCCAAATGTTCACAGTGAAGCCACCTCAGCTCCATGCATCAGGAAGGGAGGCAGGAGGAAGCAGGGACTATAAACAGACTTGGGGTAATGATTTCTCAGATCTGGGTCCAGCTAGTCTTGTCTGTGTGACATGCCCGGCCTCTCCATGCTCTAGCGTTTGCACACAGACAGTACTCCAGGGGACCCTCACTCCTCTCCATTTTCACTGTCTTTTTAACTGGTTATTAAGAAATAAAAAAATTTAGAAAGAACCTTTTTTTAAAAAAAACTTTATTGGGGAACAGTGTGTTTTTTCCAGGACCCGTTAGCTCCAGGTCAAGTCGTTGTTTTCGATGTAGCTGTGGAGAGCACAGCTCAATGGTGCATGTAGGGATCGAATCCGCAACCTTGGTGTTATGAGTCTGCACTCTAATCGCCTGAGCCAACCAGCCGCCCCTGGAAGGAACCTTTGACCCTCCTTATTTTCTGCCTAGGAGTTTAAGAATGGCAAAGCCTGCTCCAGAAGGGAATCTTAGCACATTCACCTTAGCATCAGATTGGAAGGGTCCAAGCAGAGGCCTGTTAGCTGGATTCCCCCAAGTCCCATTGTTTCTGAGTCGCCCTGCAGGAATTTGTTTAGAACCTGTTCAGCTCTGTCTTGGCTACCCGTAAATTGTCAATTTCTCCTTCAAAATCCCAGACCCTTGTCCCTTTTTCTCCATTGTCCATAATGGCATATAAGCCTCAACTCCCCAGTGTGTTCGGGGATTCATTTTTTTGGCACCTCCCAATGTGCATTCACATAATAAACTTTGGACATTTTCTCCTGTTAAGCTGTCTCTTCATTTGATTATTAGCCCAGCTAGAAGAACTTAGAAGGTGGGAGAAACATTATTTTTTTAGCCCCCACAACTGTTATACCGAGCTTTTGCTTGGTTAGCTCTTATTACGTTGGCGGAATGATTTACCTCTTGAGCACAGCTGTGGCACATTATTTCTGTGTTGTATTAGAAGGAGAAATGAACCAATGAGTTGGGGAAATTTGTGTTTTAGTTCTGCCCCTAGATGATCATAGATATTGGAAAAGTCATGTCCCTGTTCTGGGCTTCGCCTGGAAACGGGATTGGCAGAGGGCTAAATTTCCAGTGTTTCATCAACCTGGCGATCAGAAATACATTGTTGCAAGGCCCTCTCTCCAGCACCTCCTTCCGTTAGTCATTTGAAGACAACAGTATCTCCCCTGTGCTGAGACAAGCTTTTGGGACCTCTGGACTTGATGGGTTCTCGATTCTTTACAATCCTAACATTTGGTTTTTTTCCCTCTCTCTCTGGATGCCAAGTCTCCCCCCCCCCCCCCGCCCCTTTGTTGTCCCCACTAGCTTGCACTTAACTTGCCAAAGCATCTGTGCCTTCCAGGTGGTCCACATGGTTTCAGGCCACTCCCAGTCTCTCCCATCTGTAGTCTGGACCTTCCACAGCCTAAAACAAATGGCAATTTGGTGATTTTTTAAGGATCTCCTTTATTTAAAAGAGTGAAATGGAGGCTCATAGAAGTCAGGTGGTGGCAAGCACTCCCAAGTTGGGTCAAAGGACAGCAAATAGGTGAGAAGTCCTTCATTCCTCAGGTGCCATGTCCCAGTAATCACACAAAGAGGCTTCTGGAAGAAGAAATTCCTGTCAGTTTCCACGGGAGCAGATGGCCTAGCAAGAGCTGCTTGGAGCTGCCCCACGCACAGGCACTGAGGACCAACTTCGCTTCCTACTGCCGTCACCAAGAATGACAAGCTCCCACCTACACTGTGGGTGGAATGTCTGAGAACTTAGAGCTTTAGGGGAGCACAAACATTTACTCTCTGGAGGTGTCGTGTTGGCGATGCTGTGACCAAGGACAAAAATGTGGTTTCCTAAATCTCCTCATCATGTTATAGGGCGCACACTACAGATTAAAGAAAACGAAAAGAAGTAAAAAGAAAAGAGAGAGAGAGAGAGAGAGAGAGAGAGAGAGAGAGAGAGAGAGAGAGAGAGAGAGAGAGAGAGAGACTGTGTATGCCAGTTGGCTATGCATCTGTAAAAAAAGGGGGAAAAGGGAAAATCTGGGTGGCTTTAGGGGAAACGAAGACAACAAAATAAGGAAACAATTCAACAACACACAGAAGTGTTAGTAATATACATGAAAACACAACATAAAAGAAGATCCATTCATATCAAAAGTAAATATCGAGAAGGGAGTTCTACATGGTGAGTGACTTAAATGATTTTCTCTACCTATGTTTACTCCAGAGGGCCAGTAATGTCTTGCATGTAAAACAGATGCATTAGACATATAATTTGCCAGTAAGATAAGTGCTGAAACAATGTATTAAAAATTGAGACAAAATTCTGGCTGCATTTTACTTATATATTTCCTTAAGCCACTATTTTAAAGAATCAAGCTACTTCCAGCTAATGTACTTATTCATTTAAACTTACCACAAGAGAATTTAAAATAAAATAACATTGGTCAAGGAGTTTGCATCTAGAACTAAAGGAAAATATCTCAGGCAGTCCAAAAGTCAGAGGTGGCATACCTGCTTAAATATTTGGGACAGAATGATAACTTAAAATCTTAGGTCAGTCAGTCATATTATAACCTTAGAGAGATTTTCCAAAATTTCCATGCCTCAGCGCTCTCATAAATAAAATGGGACAATACTGTTTCATGGCTCTGTTGTGACAATATGAACACTGTAAAATGCCCTATAATTCTAATTAAAATGTACCTCAAGTACAGTGAATAAAAGCTTCTCATCTTTAAGAACCAATAGAACATTTTTTTTAGAAAAAAAGATTTTAGCTAAACCACAAGGAAAAAACAATTCTGTTGCGAGAGAGAGAAAAAAAGTGGCTGACCCAGCTTTCAGCTCTATATCCTCTTTTTAATAAAGAGACAAGGCAATCACGGTTTATATCTTTTACTAAGAATTCATTGGGGATGTTTTCCTTATCCATTATAAATAAGTTTCAGAATCCAGTGAGTTTAAAGAAACCACATTTTCTTTCTGGGGTATGTTGCTTATAGAAATCATTCCTATTACCTGTCACAGGAATGTTTGGCCTATTTAAAGGTCGCAGGTGTGTGAGAACAGATGGTATTGAGGATGGGGACACATTCAGGCTACAGAAAGACTGCCAAAAGCCACGCCGCTGTGAGAGCAATGGTGTTTTTTCCTTTCTCTTGCTCAAGTGTGCATGGGGAGCAGGTCCTCTGTTAGAGCCTTGTCCTGGAGATTTAATTTGTATTTTTTGTCTTTCCTGTTCTTTCGTGACAGTAGTACTGTATACTTCAAAATATAGGCTAGCTCAGAAAACCACCTCGGAATCAATGCAGTGATCCTCCCTGAAAATGGTATCATAGGTATGAAGTGAGTTGTCCCTACTATCCTGGGTTTAAAAGAGAAAGAGAGGAGAGAGCGAGGTGGAAAGAAAGGCAGAGGAGCTGCTTCCTCCTGGGTGCAGAGGGGGCAGGGTTCACACTCTGGGACAGGACGGTGGTTCAAGTTGAGGGGAGGCAGGTGACGCTGGCGTCAGTCCTGAGCCATCGCTCACAGCCTCTTGGCCTCCGCACGTGTCTGTGTACACGAATCGCGTGTGCAGGTCACTAGGAATGGCCTCAGCTTTGTGTTCAGCCTGATAACATGTGCCGGCTGCTGGGATAATAATTGTGGTACTGGGGGATGTCCAAACCCAAAACACCTTGTGAACTGCCCAGCTCTGTGGCAGTGGTCCCAACTGAGTGCCCAGCCTCCAGCTCTGCTCCCCACCCCCAGACCCACTCTCAGAGTTTGCTTCGCCAGGGAGATTCAACTGCCACCCCAGCCACCCTGTCCCCCAGACACCCTGTCCCCCAGACACCCTGTGCCCTGGAAGTGGATCTTGATTCCAAAGGACTCAATCACTTAGGCTGGAACTTGCCCCATGTGCACCCGTGAGTCATCAAAGATAAGCGAAAAGCATAACCCGGTAGCTTGGACCACTGTGCTGTGGCTCTTCTGCCTGGCATCGCATGAGGCAGAGTAGCCCCTGCCCATCATGGGGACACCAGAACGGGGGTGACATTACCTGAAAAGCCAAGGAGCTACTGCCTGGTCCTGGGGTGTCTGTTTAGTTTCCGAGTGTCAGATGCGAGCCTCCAAGGCCAGCTTCTGTCTCCAGCAGCTCACCAAGATCCATGTGATCCACAGTCCTGCTCAGGACCACCTAAAACAGGGAAGGGGCAGGTGGAATGAGAGTTTTCCTGTTACTCTGGAACTGGCATTTAGAGCTCTTGCTGAAAAGAAGAGGTGCTAAATGCCTCACATTCAAAAGAGAGTTATTAGAAACCAGAAGTGCACCCCTCCTTCTTTGTAAGAGGCAACAGGTGCGACTTCCACAGTCCACACCCACTGGCACCACCTCACTGCTCCTCCTATCTGGAGAGGAGCAGGAAGGAGTCATCTAGGTCAACAGCCTTCAGCAGGGTTCACAGTGAGAAGGGATTGCCTCCCTGCGCCCCACTGTCCACTCCTGCCCTGGGGCAAAAGAAATGGGGGAGGGGCTGCAACAGGGGAGAGGCCAGCTTCTCACTCCCCAGGTGGTCGTCTGCTAAGGCTGCAGATGGTGGCAGGGGGACTGTACCTGGAAAAATCGTTGGTCTTGAGCTGCCTCGCCAGGATGCACCCCAGAGGGCTGCCCACTGACAAAGGAAACTGGAAACCAACAGCGAGAGGCTGTGTGGTATGCCACCAGGACAGAGCTGAAAGGTGACAGAAGGAGCCTCAAGGAGCAAGACCCCCCCACACCAGGAAAAGCTGGGGTCCCTGGTTCTCTACCCTTCCCACCCCCACAGTCTGGACGATCTTAATACTAAGTCAGAGAAGTGGGCTAGCCTAGAATTCTGACTTAGATATGAGAATGAGGTTTCCAATGGGCCTGAAAGCGACAGGAGAGTGATGGAATCTGCCCAAGATGAGCTAAGGGAAAAGCTTCTGTTTTTATTTGTTAGTTGGTTTGGTTTGGTTAGGAGCAAATCAAATTTGAAGGCGGTGATTGGAAAAATTAAAACCCCACTGGGTCAGGGCCACTCAGTGAACAGGTGCGTCGTCATAAGCAGTGAGGGGTCCAGGGAAGCTTGGGCTAGATAAGTTTCTAGATCCTTCCCTGGCCTGAGATACCAGACTTGATTGTCGCAGGGTATCCATTTGAAAGAGGGCCACACCCATCACTGGGATTCAGTTGTGTGCGGACATGTCTGGAGGAAGGTGGGATTAGTCAGCCCTGGGCTCCTGTCTGAGTCCTGAGGGGAAGGTGGGAGGAGGTGCTGAAAGTAATACCTGAAAGAGCCGCTTCTTTTAAAATTGGGTAACACACTGGAGTTCAAGCATTGCTCTAAAGTCAGTTACCTTAGTGCAAACTCTGTGCTCAAGATTAAAAGATTTTTGCTTGACAACCACTGCATCTAAGCTATGCTGTTCAATACAGAAGCCACTAGTCACATGTGACTATTTAAATAGAATTAAAAAATCAATTCTTATATCACACTAGTCATATGTCAAGTGCTCAGTAATCACACGTGGTTAGTGGCTACTATATCGAATAGTGAAGATATAAAACATTTCCATCTTTGCAAAAAATTCTATTCGGCTTCTCTGCTTCGGTGAAAAAGCCATTTGCTCCAATGATGGGAGAGAAAATGGCCAAGCTGGACTTCTGAGCTATCATATGATATGTACAACATTACACATTCCAAACTTCATGGGCAAGCCCAAGGTTAGAGTGACATAACAGAGAGAGGACAAAAAGCAGACCGATTATTGCAGGGTAAACAGTGAGCCCTGAGATCACAGAAGTCCATGAGGCCTGAGTTCTGCTTTGGGAACTTAAGGGCTGCTATGAAGGAGTCCTCAGGACCAGGGGACAACCCAGTCACTAGGTAGGGGACTGACCTCCCCACCCCCAGGTAAGTGATGGCGGTGCCTGACAGAGATGATGGTGGTACTCGGGGGAGGTGAGAGTGCATGGTGGGAGGGATTCCACTATGACAATTACTCCCCTTTGGGGAACGCTCAGAAACTGGGTGAGACTTTGAGGGACAAGAGCCTGGGATGTACACATGACAGTATCTTATTTTTCTCACCAGAGGCAGGAGGTGAGCAGTAGCAGAAGAGGTCTGTTAGTTATCCAATGCTGTGTAACTCATGACTTCAAAACTTAGTGGTCCAACAAAACAATAGTTTTTATTATCTCTCTCAGTTGCTGACAGCGGGTCAGAAATTTGGGTTCAAATTGATAGGGTGGTTTTAGCTGAGGATCTCCCCTGAGGTTGCAGTCAAGGTGACAGCTGGGCTGCAGTCATCTGAAGGCTTGACTGGGGCTGGAGGATCCACTTTCAAGGTGGCTCGCTCACTCCCCTGGTTCGTTAGTACTGGCTCTTAGTAGGAGGCCTCAGTGCTCTCAACGTGGACTTCTTCACATGGGCTCCCTGAATGTTCTCACAATACTGTGGCTGGCTTTACCCAGAATGAGAGATTCAAGGGGCCAAGGCAGAAGCTGCAGTACATTTTTTGACCTTGTCTTTGAGGTCACACGCCATTATTTCTGCTGTGCTCTATAGTCACACAGCCTACCCTAATTCAGTATGGGAGGGGGAGCTCTACTCAAGAATGTGAATACTAGGAAGCAAAGTTCATTGGAGGCCCTCTTAGAGGCTGGCCACCATGAGGACACGCAGACCCAGAACTACATATTATCAGAATGTATTATCAGGGCCTGCCGAGTGGCGCGTTGGTTAAGTACTGGCTTGGGACGCCAGAGGGCCCCGGTTCGGATCCCACATATGAGGGCCAGTGACACTGCTCTCTACAGCTAAGATGCTGAACAACAGCTCAACCTGGAGCTGGGCTGCCGTGAGTCGCCGGTGATGGCGTAGGCTGCAGCCCCTGCTGCAGTGGGTTGCCATGGGCTACCGTGTGTAGCCAGCAGCCAGCGTGAGCGGCCAGCAGCCGCAGTGAGTGGCCGTCCAGTGGCTGGCGAGCGACTGCCTCGCCCGGGAAGAGCGCAATGATGGTGCCAACTTGGGCCAGTGAAGCGATGTCCTCCACAACTAGACTGAAGAACAAAACGACAGCAACTTGTCTGTTCCCCTTCCCCCAATTCCCCAATAAAAATCTTAAAAAAAAAAAAAGAATGTATTAATCAGAAATCTGACTATCACAAGTGGCCAAAACCCAAATCAAATTGTCTCAAAAAAAAAATCAAAGAAAATGCATCTACTAGCACATATAATTAAAAAGTCTTAATATGGTGCTTACATGATGTCCCTGGGGTTCTGTCTCATTCTCAGATCAGCCTTCCTCCTGTGGTAACAAGACGGCTACTAGTAGCTCCAGGCTAGTATCTCTAGTTTAAAAGAGAGACACTGGCTCTTTCCTGTGAGCACCAACAAAAATGCCAGTGGGGCTCCCATTGGCTAGAACATTGATCTCTGAACCAATCACTGTGATCTCTGATTGGCCAGGCTTAAGTTGCGAGCTCATCTCTGGACTGGAGTGTTGTTACCAAAAGAAGGATGAATGGTGCTGGGCTGGCAAAATCAAGCACAGTTCACTACAAAACCCATCTGTATCTGTCTGGTTTCATAACAGAAAATCACATCATATGATACTCCCCACCTTAGGATGAAGACTGGCAATACCAAACTTCCAACCCAGAAGCACATCATTGTTTTCCATTACCCTCATTACAGAGCCAGAGGTAGACACTCCTCTGTGAGATGTTTTGCACAGCCAAGACTAGAGGGTTCTCCTGAGTTGACAAGCATCTGATAATTCTAAATCCTAGATGGTCTTCCAAGGAGCTGCGACTTTGGTTTGTACTGATCGCAGTTACATCACTTCCAGTGACCTCGAGTGTTTCTCTTCCAGGAGGTGGAATGAGTAACATTCCAGCAAGACCTTAAAGATGTGTGATTAAAATTCCTTTATTAAAGAGAAATGTGACCTAGTATATGTAGGGAACAATAAATACAGTAACAGCTCACTCATCTGGACCCAGGAGGGCTGGTTTATGATATATTCAACCCTTTAAAACACAGACTCTGTTCCTAGGTGGGGGAAAGTTTCTGCAAATCAGATAAAGCACTCACACAGTTGTACATTTAAACACTAATGTGGAGATTCATTGATTCTAACTGGGCATATAAACGTATAGTTCTGGGTATGTTTGATTTTTCTCATTCCCCAGGCCACAGGAGTTAATAAACAACAAATTCCACTGGGGTGGCAGGGAGCTGTTGGAGACAGTCACTATGTTGTCATCAAAGAAGAAATCTGATGGTCTGAGTTGCTCAGACTACAGTGGTGTCCTGGTTCTCACTGTTATTTGTTTAACACTGATGGTGGGTAATGTGCTATGCTAAACACTTTACATGTTGTGTGTCTTATTCAATCCTGACAACACTATAAACTCAGGGCTATTTTCCCCATTTTATAGATGGGAAAACTGAAGCTTAAAGGTGATATCAAGTGATTAAGAAAGTGTGGTATGTTTGTGAACACCTGTTTATTAAAATAGGTGGGCAGATATCTTTTAGAAATGCTTCCTTCAAAAGTGGCTTACCAGAGACTTCTTAGGGCTTAAAGGAATAAATAGAAAATTCACTTACAAGATCTACTTGTCTCATGACCAGGCAGAATGAAGTGGCTCTGGGGTGTCTTCTAGGCCTGAGATTCTGTGTTCATGGAGGCCTGGGCCTGTATGGTCATAGAACTTTATAAATGGTTCCGAGGGGGTTGTCTCTTGGAACTGCCAATGTCCCCATTGCATACCTTCAGAATCCCACATCAGGGCCCAGGAGAGGAAGTCTGGGCCAGCAGTTGGCATGTGGTCTCTCATCAGAGTGATTGCTAATAATGGACTCCGGCATCTCCGTGGTGTGTCTGATCCCTACAGCTGCATTTCTCTGGCCCACCTGGCATCCTGACTAGAAAGACAGAAGATGTACTACTACTTTGGGTGTCCACAGGCCTCAGCTGCCCTCGTCCTGTCTCAAGATTACACAGACACATTCAAAGAATTCTTTTCTTTGAAGAAGGTCATCATCTTTGGACTCGGGGTCAGATGCAGGAATTACTGAGGCTCCTGCTCTCATTCTCTCCCCTGCCCTTGGTTCAGCTGGTTGAGAGAAGAAGCCATGGGCTTGAATGTTTTCTTAGCCTTGACAAGCAAACAAATGGGAGGAAAAAAATCCAGTGTGTGTTTTCTTCTTTCACAGGGCATATTAAGAGGCCCTTCTGATCCTTCTCGGGGGGGTGGATATGCTATTGGGAAGGATAAACATTTGTCAAGACTGTCAGGAGTCACTGAGATTATGTGTTTTTCATAAGTAGGGTGTGTGTGCACGCGTGTATTTTCTTGCAGATTTTCACAACCCAGCGCAGTCCCCCAAGGCCTAAAACGAAGCTGAAATCATCCATGCCTCTTTGAATGCCAGTATCTCCAAAGGGCTCAGGAATTGCATGGTTTCCTGGAACTCAGACCTATGATGTGAAATGATTCCATTTCTGACCCTTGGCAATTCTAATATGCCCATTGTTCTTTCTGTCCTGGAACTGGCCCTTGTATCCATGCAGTAAACACTCATTGTACTGGGTGAGGAAGAGTCATGGAGAAAGAAAATCCAGATATCAAAATAGGCCCTTGAAAAATAGAATTGATTACTAGATTCAAACCCTCTACAAGAACTGAGCGCATGATGTCTTCTTTCAAAGGCATTTCTTTTATTTTCAGACTTTACAATGTATAAAGATCAAATGTACACCCATCGGGTGTGGTGTTGGCTGGTGCTAAACAGAATTGCGAAACAAAAGGACATTGATTTCCCCACTTTCCTTTTTTTGCAACATTTTACCTCCTTTTAGTGATTCCCCTGCCCCAGATTTCCCTGCTCTTAGGACATCCTCTCCCAACAGGGAAGAAACAAAGCTAGGTAATAAATTAATTCAAAGGGAAATAATTAGGAATGTGTCATAATATTTTACGCTGCTCAGAAATGATACCTTTTAAAAGACAACCTCTGAAGAGGGAGGGAGGCACTTTGGAGGAACAGTTTATTTTGAAAAGGGAGAATCCAAGAGTCATCAAATTAATGAGAACTGAATTTCTTAAGCTCTCCACCCCATGAAAATCGCCTGGGGTTACAACCCGGCTTTCCCCAGCCTTACTCCTTTCCTGGGTGTTCTAGGAGAGGAATCTAGAAGTCTGTATCCTGAGTCACTGTGTGACCAGCTGAGCTTGGGAACCCCTGGCCTAGGGAGCCAAGCAATCTGTACTCCCACAAACCTGAAGATTGGGTGGAGTTTCGGGAAGCTGTGCTTCTTAAGGAAAGACAGATCTGTGTTCGATTTGCGACTGTTACTCAATGGGAGGCTTGAGCGAATCATTTAGCCTCCATGAGTCTCATCGGTAAATCGGATTAATTATCCTGTTTCTGCAGGGTTGTTGTGACGCTTGGAAATCATGCATGCAAAGGCCTGGCACACAGATACTCCGGTCCAAGGCTAAGCGCTCAAGTAATGATAGTTCTTAGTAGATGAGTAAGGATTGGCACATGTCAAATGTCTTCGCATCATTTCAAATGGGTGTTCAGAGTCTTAAAAAAAATTATTTAAATTACACATCCATAAAAGTGTCGAAAATAGTGTAATAATGCTCCCTGTCCCTATTACCTAACGTTTACAAAAATCAACATATTGCCTTGCCTTCTTTTTTTTTTTTTTTTTTAAAGATTTTTTTTATTGGGGAATTGGGGGGATGGGAACAGTGCTGGGGAATTGGGGGAAGGGGAACAGACAAGTTGCTGTCATTTTGTTCTTCAGTCTAGTTGT